AAGGTGTTTTTAAAGTATATTCTTGTACACTATTCTTGAAAGTAAAGGATTTGAGTTCTTGATGAGTTTTACTGAAGTTTCCTTCATAATCTTGATTGTTGAGGTTTTGATGAGTTCTTGAGAAAATCGTATGAGTTTTAAGGTGTTTTTAAAGTATATTCTTGTACACTAATGTTGGGTATTCGAATCTAAGTGATTTGGGAAGAAACCGTTTGATTCTAGGTGAATTGGGTAAACGAGTAAGAAAATTCGTCGGGTTTTCTATGCAAGGGGCTGGCGCACCGCGCCACTCTGTGCACCAGCAAAAGGAGTCTGTAGTTTTGGCTCTGGGGCGCCGCACCACTCAGTGTGCCCCAACCATCCCTCTGTAGTTCAGGGTCTGGCGCCCTGCGCCACTCAGTACGCCAGGGTCGGCAGGTCGTCTACCTTTCCTCACTTCTTTCTGTTTGAGTTCCCTCGAATCGTACCTATGTTTTCTAGTTGATTTCTACACTCTAAGGTATATCTAAACATTGATAGATCATCATAACATGAGATCATAACCCTTGAATCCCTAATTCAAATTCAAGATAGAGCTAAGAGTCAAGTCTAGAGAGTTATTTGAGTCTTTTCAAAAAGTTTTTAACAATTGTTTTAAACTTGAAGACTTAAGCATTGAGTGGAGGGAGAGTAGAGCCTCTGTTCATTTCTTTAAAATGATTTATGGAAACTAATTATTCCCAAGAGTAAACGTTTTCATATTTAAGATGAAGGAAATATCGATTTCCAAAAGAGCTTTCATGAGCAGTTTTAAGTACCATCTCTTTTAAGAGAAAGATTTTGAGTAATAATCTCAAACCACAGAAAGAGGAAATGTTTTCTTTAAAACATAATGAACTAATTATAATTTGGGAGTAGTATTGAGCACCGATATGGGGGAGATTTTATACAACTCAAAGCCCCCATAAACCATGTAGCCAACGTGGGTAGAGAGGGTCATACTTTTTAGATGATTCCTAATTGCTTTTAAGAATAGCTTACTGGATCCACTTAGTTGAGATGTTCTATACCCCGACAAGGTATGGGACAATTCTCGCAGTGTGGGTGAGACGATGTATCATCACCTAGCTCATAGCGATGGTTGTCGGTTAGAGAATCTCCCAAACAAAGTCTATTTTGTATTTTTACATATGACTTAGATATTATTGTATTTTAAAAACATTGAGTTGTTATCTACTATTTAAAACTTTTCTTTATATTACATCTTTATTACTCTTTTATATTGAAATGAGTTGAGTAGAGATGAGGTAAGTGTTTCTTTCAATTCCAATTCAAGCTTATCATGTCTTGTTTAGATTTCCCCTCACATGGTCGTACATTCAATGTAGTGACGCCATTTGGCCTGCATCATTTTATGATGCAGATACAGGTAACCAGGATTAGCATCCAGCGCTTCGTTGATCCAGTTGAGCTTCAGAGTTGTTGGTTTTAATTTATCATCTCAGTTTTATTATTAGGATGTCGTGAGTCTATCCCGAAGTCCATCTCAGTTAGTAGAGGCTTCATAAATAGTTAGACATTATTAGTTCATGAGTCTTTTCCTTTTCATTTTGTTTATGTTGAGAATTGAATTGTCACTTTGGCTAGTTGAATGTTTACTTCTAAAACATTTCAAGTTATCATTTGAGTTATAGTTGCTTTTTAAGTGATTTTATTATGAGTAAGTCTTCCGCTAAGAATTATGTCAGGCCAAGGTTTCACTTGGGGCTAGCAATGATTCTCGAGTGTCAGTAGCGTCCAGGGTGTAGGCTCGGGGCGTGACATTAGTAACTATTTTGGGATACAGTCATAACAAATTTTGTGTTATACTGGGCATAGAAATACAAGAAAGAAAAATGCATCAATTAATGCTGATTTTTAGTGAGTGTTGGATATAATTAAGTATTGGAAATAATTTTATGTTTATAGCTAAAAGATGAAATCTTTGTATGTATTGAGATTTCTGTATGTATTGAGTGTATGTTTCTTTTATTTTTGTAGTTGGTGATGTTTGAATGCACATAATATATTGTATCACATTACATTTATGTAAGTAGTAACTACTTTGGGAACAATTAATTATTGGACACAATTTTATGTTTTAGCTAAAAGATGAAAACTACATAAAATTCTCTAATAATGCATTCTGGAAAAGTTTATAATACAATTGTGTTTGAAAGATGAATATTAATATATATTTGTTAATGTAGTCATGGGAAACATTAGTTTTCTAATCATACATTCTGAAAGGTGGAACGAAGAAAATTGTTACATTGATTAAATTATAGAAGCAATTATGTTGAAAGAATATGCGACATTTAGAGATTTATTGGATGAAGCTGCTAAACAGATTGGTGTTGATTTGAGATTCAATAGTGTGAAGCTTAAGTATAAAATAGAGGGTAGTAATTCACCTTTGGAAATACACAACGAGATGGGTGTGAGGGTGTATGTGTCGTTGAAGAAAGATAACAAGGAATTGGCAAAGTATCCTATGTGTGTATCGGTATTTGTGAAGGATTGTAAATTGACTGATAGAAATATATTAGAAGATGGAGTTGGAATGTGTGGAATAGATGGAAGAGATATAGTTGATACACAAGCATTGATGAACACCGATTGGTAGGTCATAACTAAGGCTTTTGGTAATGTCAAATATTCTTAGTTCTTGTTCTTTATGTTCGAGGACGAACATGGTTTTTAGTGGTGGATAATGCAATGACCCGGAATGTCATTTTTAGAAATTTTCGTGAAATTGTAATTTCACCCCTTCCAATAGTTGCCCCGAGTCATTCATGATCGATCGGTGAAATTGGTTTGAGAATTTTGAACTATTCGTTTAACTTGAGTTAATTAATTGATGGGTAATTGTAGGTAATGGACTAAAGTGACAATTTATTTAAGACCATATACTATTTGACCCATATATAATAAAAGAAGTGGGTAAAGTTTATCACTTTTAAATTAATTCAGAAAAGGAAAAAAAAAAAAGGAGAAAGAGGGAACGGACGAAGGGTTGCGGACTGCTTCAGGTAAACTTAAACTGAAGTTTTCAATTTCTCTTACGCCTGCATTAATTGCTCTTCTGCAGATGCTTTCATTAATTGCTATATATATGTACATAACAATATTATATTATAATTGAATTGGAAAAGGGGATTTGGAATAAGGAATTGGCAGATATATATATATATATATGTATGTATTTAATATTTTAATGTAAATTGAGAAAATAGGTGTGTTGGGCACTGGCCAATCAAATTTTGAAAGGGTTGAGGCTATGATTGGATAAAATGTTAGGAATATAAGGTACATCAAATTGAGGTTTGAAACAGTGGTGTCATCGTGGTGTTGTTCGTAATTGACGTCATCGTTTCGTTGTTTTTCTTATTCATATCATATTATGATTCAAGTTTTGATATATTAAGTATATTATATAACATGAATATCATTCGAATTATGATATTGGAAAAATTGAATTTTACCCTAAACTTGAAACTTGGAAAAATATGATAGTTGAAATGTTAATTGACATCAAGATTTACGAATTTGATTCTATTGGGTGAATTTTTGGGTCAAGGCTAAACACATAGTAATGTGGGTGTTGTTAGTTTTGAAATCTTATTGTGATCATCTTGAATAGATTGCATTGATTTGGAAGCTCAACGAAAAGGGAAGGCTCATGTCCCAGCATGAATTGTTGATTAATTGAGGCAAGTGAATTTCTAAACCCTTGTTAAGTGTATGGAATTCGTGTATTTCCTTGTAATATGTGTTTGGGAGTAATGAGACTTGGTGATGGGTTGACTTGTTCACATTGATTAATTCTAATGATGAAAAAGGGGTAATAAAAGGCAATGTGATTAATTGTTTGTGTGTGATATGTTGAGAATGGTTTGAAAGGCTTGTTGAATCATTGTTGATGTTGAATCATGATTGTGTTGTTGTGAATTGTGCAATGTTATGAAAATGGTTATCTCCTCATTATTTGTGTGAACATGTCATTTGCATTGTTCTGAGACATGGTTGTGTCAAGTGTTTATGTGAATTGAGAAAGAATAAGAAATTAAAGAGGATGTACCATTTCGAGGGACGTATTGCACGCCGCGATGGATACTATATTTCGAGGGACGTATCGCACGCCACGATGGTTACTATTATCGAGGATCGTATTGCACGCCGCGATGGATGCATGGAAAGATATGTCCCCCATGGGTCCCGGACTGAGAGACAGCGGGTGTGTATCACTAGGTCAGACATGCATCACTATACTTGACATTGCATTACACATATTTATCATTAGTGAACTTCATATTGTGTTTTGCTGATCTCGTGAGTATCTTTCTGTGGAACTTTGATTGATGAATATTGAGTTTGTTGTTGAGAATATGTGATTGTTAGAATGTTGTTGTTGAGATATGTGCTTGTAAATTGTGAACTGTTAGATTGAACTGATTTTATGAAGGTTGTAGTTGTGGAGGTTCGGTTGGGGTGTAAGGAGTACCCGTATTCTATCCCCTTAGCTTGTGTTTAGAGGTTTACTTGCTGAGTACCATGTGGTTTGATACTCACCCCTTGCTTCTACAATTTTTTGTAGGTTACGAGCCTGGATTTTGTGATACTTTCCATTCTCTTATTTTTCGAGGCGTCTTGGAGATTTGTGAGGTAGTTGTTTGTCATCTCAACAGACCTTCTTACTCCTATTTATGATCTTGTTCTATTCTAGAAACAAGGTCATTTGAGACTTGTGTTTTTCTTTTGAATCAATTGTAATACTTTAAAGGCTTGTACACGTGACAACCAGATTTTGGGGGTATTTTTGAGTTGATTATGAAATTTCCGCATTTTATTGTAATGATTGAGTTTTAGGCTGACTTGTCTTGGTGGGATAAGGCGAGTGTCATCACGTCTATTTTTGGGTTGTGACAACAACCATCTCAAGGGGACTTATAATGGTATATTTGTGTCTACGAGTACGGTAGATGGAGCAGGTATTAGATTTATAATAGATACAATTTTATTCGATTCTTATAATTCTATTTCTTTACGAAGTAATAAATTTATTAATGTTTTGTATACAAGTAATATATGGAATTACTGATTCGGAAAATGATGCATCCTGGACTTGATTTTTTGAACAGTTTATAGAAGCTCATGGAGTTAAAGATAATATGTGTGTTGTATCCAATAGGAACGAGAGTATTATAAAGGCAATTTTGAAGATATTTAATGGAGTCCTCATTATGCTTACACTTGGCATTTGTGGAAAAATGTGAAAACACTATATAAAAAGTCACACAATAGTCTTTCGGAAGTGTTTTATGCGATGACAAAGGCATACAAACAATCTGAATTTGATGAACTGATTAAAAGGTTGAACAGTTTGATGTTCGTGTAAAGAATTACTTGAAATTGGTAGGTTATGAAAAATGGGCTAGGGTATATGCAACAGTTGATCGGGGATTTGTTATGACATCAAACATAGTTGAGTGCATAAATACATGTCTGGTGGAAGCAAGGAAATCACCGAAATACAATTTTGTTGAGGAAGTTAGACAGATGTTTGCAAGATGGAATTTCAAAAATCATACATTTTCTTCACATACTTATAGCACACTTTGTGGTAAACCTCAAGAGATGCTTGTTGATAATGAAGAACAATCAACACATATGAAGGTATGATTTTATAGTATTTTTTATTTTTTGTATTTCATTTGTTTATCAGCATTTTATAACATGATTGCTTTATTTTTTTTATTATAGATTGTACCATCGAATAATTATTTTTACAGTGTTCATCATGAAGGTAGAACATTTATTGTATGTCTGAAAAATAAAACTTGTACTTGCAAGAGGTTTCAAATGGATGAAATAACATGTCTGTATGTGTGGGATGTTTTAAAGACAAAGCATTTTGATCCTGGACCATATTGTTCTGACACGTACAAGCCAAGTAACTTGTTGATTACATACAACATTCCAATTACTCCCTTACCTGATCCAATCAAGTGGAATGTACCTGGATATATTAAGGATGACATAGTGCGGCCTCCAAAGTACAAACGACTTCTTGAAAGGCCACCAAAGAAGTATCGTGACAAAGCGTACAACAAGCTATATGGAAAGAAGAGCAAGAATTCTTGGAGTACTTTTGGGTATAAGGGGCACAATAGGCGGTCGTGTAGGAATGGACCACGTATTGCGTAGTTAGTGATGCTTGTGTTTTTTATCTTATAGGAGTGGAAGTGTTGGAAAATTTCCAATACCCACTGTTTTAGAAATCTACTTGTTTGAACTTCTTTGAATATGTGTTCATCCGAAATGTATAAAATCAACTATGGCACTTAGTAGGTGGCAAACAACAACTAACATAAACAAGTGACAACAACACTAAAGTAAGTACGTAACCAGTCAACAATATCAAGATCACACATGAGGACTCATGCTTCCAAACCAAGCTATTTTGGAAATTGAGTTATTTGAGATTGAGTACATTACATTGTTTATATACATTTTCCTTTAATGTTACCGTGATGGAACGTGACACCCGATCCAATAACAATGTGTCAGCTCGTGGCACCCAATCTAATATATCGTGTCAGAACGTGACACCCGATCCAATAATATCAGGCCGGCTCGTGATACCCGATCCAATAATACCGTTAATATATCATTTATTATCACCACTTTTCACTTCATTAACAATATTTCAACAAGCCTTCTTTATTCAAGGCATCACTTCGATAGAGAAGGTTCAAGATTATAAATTTCACGGTCTCAGAATTTCAGACCAATCACAAACAATACATAGATTATCCAAACCACACAACCAAGTACATAGAGAAATTCACAATATCACTCAATGACTATCAATCACTACTAAGAGTCTATCTATCACATAGAATAAACCATAACCTACCTCCACCGAAGAACGTTTTTCCTTTCCTCAATTCCTCTGAACCTTTTTCAATCTATCAAGTATATATTCATAATTTGTAAGTTAACGAGCCTATAAACACTCATATTATTCTATGTCTAGCCTAGACCCAAATTCTCATCTAATTCTATAATCAATTTCCTAAAGTTCAAACTAAGGGTAAGTCTTAATTTCTCCAATTAGCATAACTTTAATGAAATTTAAATAATTCGATACACTTAATATTTAATTACCTATCTCAATATATTAAAACTCAATTTATAATATGATGACAACATAATAAAATTCAAGATTAAAGCCACTTGTTTCGAAAACTAGTGGCAACAACTCTAACCCAAATTTATCATATACTATAAGCCAAATTTATCATATCATCAGCCAATGATTGGCTAATCTAATCCATCAACCAATTCATTATCACCCTCACTTTCACTTTCAATTCTTATCTACACCCACTTTCAATTCTCATCTAACCATAGAAATATTATTATATAATATTTAACCCCCTACTATAAAATAAGGACATTGAAGATTCCAAGTATTACCTCGATGTCGGTCTTCCTTGTTAGACGCCGCATGTAAAGTTTCTCGCCTACTTTTCTTTGTTCTTTCTTTTATAGATTATTTCTTTACTCTAATTATTATACATGACCAATTATAAAAGTGGTAAAAGTGGCCGCTATTAATTTTAATGTTATTTTCTTTAACCACCAACTAAATTAATTATTAAAATTACCTCATTAGTTATATAACTATAGTTACGAATAGTCCAAAATACCCATTTAGAATCTATTGAAAGAGCCTTTTATGAAATAAAATCTCTAGTACTCAAAACGACCAAAAGGGTCGTTACACTATATACCAATTTACCCATCGTTCGTCCGAGACGAACGATCAAAAGAAGGTGAGGGTAAGAAAGGATACCTGAATGATAAAAATGTATGGATGTCTTTCATGCATATCAGCCCCACTCTCCCAAGTGGACTCTTCCACTGAACCTTGATAGATGCAATCTCCTTAGACCTCAACTTGCGGACCTCCCTATCTAGAATAGCTACAGGCTCCTCTCATAAGACAGGTTGTCATCGAGCAGGACTGAGTCCCAACTAATAATGTAGTTTCCATCACCATGGTATTTTTCAACATGGACACATGAAATACCAGGTGCACTTCTGACAACCCTGGAGGCAAGGCCAATTCATAGGCCACCTCCCCCGTATGCTTAAGAACTTCAAATGGCCTAATATACCTCGGACTAAGCTTACCTCGCTTACCAAACTGTATCACACCCTTCATGGGTGACCTTCAGCAAGACTTTCACCCTCCATAAACTCTAAGTCCCTGACCTTCCGATCTGCATACTCCTTCTTCCTGCTCTGAGCTGCTAGAAGCTTCTCTTGTATGAATTTCACTTTCTCTAACTATTCCCTCAAAAGATCGGTACCCCGAGGTCTCACCACAAATGCATAAAACCAACCAATGGGATACCTACATCTCCTCCCATACAATGCCTCAAATGGGGCCATATCAATACTCGAGTGATAGATATTGTTGTACGAAAACTCTGCTAAGGGTAAGAACTGATCCCAATGACCATCAAAATTTATCACGCACGCACGAAGCATATCCTCCAGCACTTGAATTGTTCACTCAGACTGCCGATCGGTCTGAGGGTGAAATGTGGTACTAAGATCCAATCTAGTACCTAATTCAGCATGCAAGGTCCTCCAAAAGTTAGAAGAAAATTGCATACCTCTAACCACTACTAAAAAACTGCGAAAAAACGACAGACAGAAAAGTGACAAACGGTGTCGCTCCAAAAAGCGACGCCATTTGTCACGCTGTCCGTCGCTTTTTATTAAAAATAATTATTTATAAAATTATTTTACAAAAAGCGACGGAGGGCATCTCTTAGTTCGTCGCTTGTTTCGCGGATTTTTGCGCTAAATATATATATAATTAATAATTATTTATTTAATATATATAGAGACGTCGTCCGTCGCTTTTTAATAAAAATAATTATTTATAAATTAAACAATAACCACATTTTTCGTTGTTTTTAATTTATTTTATTTTATTAATTAGTATTTTTAAAAGCGACGGGCATCTCTTAGTCCGTCGCTTTTTGGTCAAAATATCTAGTCAACATTTTAAATAAGTGACGGACAATGTCGTCTAGTCCGTCGCTTTTTAGTCAAACTTTTGGTCAAACATTTTTAAAAAATCAACGGACAAAGAGACGTTGTCTGTCACTTTTCATTTAATTATGTTACAGCAGTGACGGGTTTTTCCCCAAATTTCCCATTCTGTTTCCTCTTTTCTCTCTCTCTCTCTCTTCACTCCTTTCTCGCCCCGTCGCCGGACCACCGATTATCGCCGCCACCACTGTCCGTTGTCGACGCCATTATCCACCCCCCATCGCCGGCCAACCCCAGCTACCACCTCGCCCAAAAGAATTCCCCAGCTGCCCCTCCTTCTTGTTATAAGGTTAGGGTTTAGTTTTAATTATTGTTTTTGAATTCTAGTAATTGTAATTGATTTCTTAGTTTGTATATTGTTTTAGTTTGTTGAATTGTGTTATTGAATTGTTAATTGTACATTTGATTATTGTTAGTTAGGGAGAGAATTGAGGATTTTAGATTTTAGGGTTAGTTTTATTTTAAATTGGGGATTTTTAAATATGATTGTAAACTAAGTATTAGAAGTTAGAACTAACAAATAATTAGAAGTTAGAAGTTAGAAGTTAGATTAGTTTAACATTGATAGTTGAAATTTTGGTTAATTGAATTAAATTCTTGAACTTAATTAGAAATTCTTGAACTTATTAGAAATTCTAGAAATTAGATATGAACTTGAATATATATATATATATATAAAAACTAATTTTTGGATAAGAAGTGTATATATGACTAATTTTATAGATTAGAGATATGAACTTGAATTAATTAGGAATTAACTTGAACTTGGAACTAATTAGCTTGAATATATAACTAATTAAGTGTCACGACCCGAGTCTACACCCTGGACGTGGCCGGCACTTAAGAACCATTGTTGGTCTCCAAGCGAACCCTCATCCTGGCTGACTACAAGCGGAAGACTAACTCAAGCATACAAAGCTTAAAACTGAATAAATATTCATGAAACTTAAATAGAAAGCTTTAACTCAAAAGAAAACTCTAAATAATATAAATTATTCAACTCGCCATAAAATAGGCAACTTAAGTCTTTAAAACATTTAATAAAATAAATAATACAGACTTCTCAACTATACTGACTATCTATGAAGCCTTTAACTGTTAAAGATGGAAGTCGGGACAAGACCCACGACGTCCTGACTAAACTGAAAAGTAAATGAAATCCTCCGGAAACAAAAAGGCTCACCATAGCTAACTCGAACTTCCGGATGTATCAATGAAGCTCCTGTTGATGACCCTGAATACCTGTGTCTACATCATGAGAAGATGCAGGCCAAATGCTCCTGTTGATGATCCCGAATACCTGAATCTGCATCATGAAAGGATGCAGGCCAAATGGCTCATTACGTGGAATGTACGAGCATGTTAGAGGAATTCTAAATCATAAACATAAGCTTGAACTTTGATAAAAAAGAAACATACTTACCTCTTCTCAAACTTACTCAACTCAAGGAATACTCAAGGATACTCAACTTACTCAACTCAGAAGTACTCAAGGATAAGATACTCAACTCAGAGATTAGATACTCAACTCAAAGATATGATATTCGACTCTGCATACTCAACTATGTATACTCAACTTAATATAAATCAACAATACACATGCAATATATGGAAAACTTTATAAAACAGTAAAAGCAACTTAGTTCATTAAAGAAAATTCAATAACAAACTGAACTTTACTTATATAATAAAGTAATATAGTTTATGTGGAAGTTTCTCTAACCGACAACCACCATTATGAGCCTAAGTG